AGTGTATCTACCAAGATTCACCCAGGAAATATATGTAAATGCAACTATAAAATACTCTTCTGTAGAATTAAGACAGACCTAAATATAGAAACATCAACTGCTCATGCACAGGCTGAGCTGATATAATAAAAATGACAATATTTTCTAAATTAACTTACTTGTTCAATGCTGTACCAAACTACCAAAAGAATATTTTATTAAGGCAAGAAAAATAATAATAATGAAATTCACATGGAAAAATTGAAAAATAGAAAATCTCAAGAATGCGGGGGAAAGCAAAGGAAGGGAGTCTACGAGTATTAATCTTAAATTGTACTACATCCAGCTATTACTAAAATAATCTTGGTGCTTGGTACTATCAGCTAGGTGGTACAATAGAGTACTGAACCTGGAATGAAGATATGAATTCAAATTCCGCCTCAGACACTTAATAGCTAAATTTTTTTGAGCAAGTCATTTAACTTCTGTCTCTCTCTAAGTTTCCTGATTTGTAAAACAGGGATAATAATAGCACCTACCTCTCAGGACTGTTGTGATGATAAAATAATAGTTTTAAAGTGCTTTGCAAACATTAAGGTGCTATACAAATGTCAGCTATTATTAAAAAAAAAAAGAGAGTCTGATCATATTAGATCTACAAGGAAGGAAAGAAGCATTTATTAAGTACCTACTATGTGCCAGGCACTGTGCTAAATCCTTTACAAATATTTTTTCATTTGATCCTCACAACAACCTGGAAGACAGGTGCTATTATCATCCCTATTTTACAGTAGCATAGTGTTTGATAAATTCCAAACCCCAAAGTATTAGAGGAAAGATTCATTATTTGACAAAAACTGCTGCAAAAATTGGACAGTAGTCTGACAAAAATTATGTTTAGACCAACACCTCACACCATACACCAAAAAAATGGATATGTGATTTAGACATAAAAGGTCACATAAACAAATTATGAGCAAGGAAAAATCTACCCCTCAGGTTGCTATAAAGATCAAATAAGATAATAATGCCATAGCATATAGGAACTAGCACATATGAGGCACTAAATGTTATTTTCCCCCTTCCTTGTATACCTAATCTGATTGAACTCTCTCTCTCAACAATAATAGCTAACATTTACGTAGTACTTTTCAGATCTTGGATAGTTGAACTAATGGCTAAACAAGCAATAGAGAGGATCACTTAAGATAAAATGGAGAATTCTGATTATACAAAACTAAAAAGTTTTGTTTAATAAACAAATCTGATATTAAAATTAGAAGGGAAACAGGTAACTAGAAAAATATGGTATCAAATTTCTCTGATAAGGGTGGTCTCATAAAACAAGGTATTTAAATAACTAATTCAAATTTATAAGGCTCAGAACCATTCCTCAACGGAGAGAAGGTCAAAGGATATAAACAGGTAGTACTCAAAGGAAGAAATCCATAGCACCGACATTCATACGTAAAAATTTTCCTAATCACAAATATTAGAGAAGTTCTAGCTCACACCCATCAGACTGGCAAAGATAACAAAAGGGGAAAATGTGAAATGCCTAAGGTGCTGTGGGAAAACAGATACACTTGTATACTATTAGCAGAGCTGTGAATTGGCACAGCCATTCTGGAAAACAATTTGAAATTATGCTCCCAAAGTTATTAAACTGTGTATATACTCTGACCCAGCTATACTATTATTAGGTCCATGTTCCAAAGAAATCAAAGAAAGAGGAAGAGGACATAGCAATAGTATAGTATAATAAATAAAGCAAAAATATTTATAGCAGCTCTTTTCATGGTAGCTCAAAATCAGAAACTTACGTGGTGAAAAGTTAGAAGAATGTGGCATATGAATACAACAAAATACTATCATGTCATAAGAAAGGGTAAGATGGCCAGTTTTAGAGCTAATCAGCAAGACTCTTATGAGCTGAAGACAACTGAAATGAGAAGAACTAGGAGAATAATCTATAAAATAATAACATTACAGAGAACAATGACTATAAAGACTTTATTAGAACTCTGAGCAACACAATTATAAATGATAAGTCCAAAAGAATGAAGATGAATGAAACAATCCACTTGGCCTTCTGACAGAGAGGTGATGAACTTAAAATGCAGGAAAAGACACACATTTTCTGATGTGATCAATGTACGAATTTGTTTTTACCAGATTACGCATGTATGTATTGAAAGCTTTATTTTTCATTTTTTTTCCCTCTAATTTTGAGAAGGAAAAATTGAGAGTGTCATTTATTGGGAAGGACAAATTATTAAAGAAAAAAAAGATGAGTAGCTGAAAAGGAGGTAAGAGTAACAATGTCATTAAAGTCACCACATTTTGAGAAACTTAGCACGAAAAAACAAGCCCATCTAATGCATTAATATTTTAATGTTTATTTTTGCCATGTCTTTGTACATAACATTACATTTATTTTATTTCAAAAATCAGTTTGTATCAAATATATAATTCTTTTTCATCAAAAAAAAAAAAAAAAAAAAAAAAGAAGTATCGAATGACATCTGCCCAAAGAACTCTGGGCCACGCTATACATTTGAGGATAGGGACTTTCATTTTTCCTCTTTGTTCCCTGGATTTGAGCACAATGTGTTACATGTGATAGGCACTCAATAAATGTTTGTTGAATTGAAGACTGAACTGCACAAGCTCAATTGTGTGCAAATGATAAAATTAATTATGTTTTAAAATTTCTCCTAGTTTAGTTCTGCATAACCCCTGACTATAAGGCATTTCAAAGTGGAGCGTTCACATGTACTGTGCTATGATGGCAAGAGGCTAGAAGTTAGGAGACCTGGGGTCTGTTTCTGATAAGATATAATCTTGGATAAATCACTTAACCTTTCTGAGAATCGGTTTTCTTAACTGTAAAATGAGGAGCTTAATCTCAAAAACGTCTAAAGGGCCCTTCCAAGCAATTAACTATGGTCCCATAAGAGAATTAGCTAATCACGCAGCCTCTGTAAGGATTAATGCCATCCAGTGACCTCCCAAACAGGATATTTCTGAGTAATTTTCAAATTAGCAGTATTCCTTGTTTGCAAAGTCAGTGACCTACACTTTGCCTCCTTTATTTTTTCATTTCACCTTTTCAATGACCTTCACTTATTTCTAAAGGGCCACTTATGTCATTAGAATTATCACAATATTTTCCTCTCCAGTCTTCCAGCTCAACTATAGTCCCCTATGATTCCTGTTCCGAATGACTCCCACACTCCTACCTTCTCCATCGATCATATTGACTGTTATTCTTCGTTTACAGAAAGGCCCTAGAGTAGCTCTGGTAAGAACCAGTATCCTCTACCAGATCTTGTGTCCCTTATTGGCCATCACGCATGCACTGTTACTGCTTTCTATGCCCTGATTCATTCCTCTACTTATGGAGACAAATGGGCTAATATTCCTTTTATTCCAATTATCATGTTTATTTGATGACTTGGGTCTAAACTGTCCATCCTTGTTCTCCTCCCCAATCTAATAAATTATCTTCCTTTAGACAGATTCTGAAACCTCACTCCCTCAGCGAAGGTTTTTCTAACTAGAAAAGAGGTAATGACTTCTCCTTGTCCCACTCTTTCTCAAGGGATATTCATCTTCATATACGAAGATATATAATTATCCCCTTTTCTTATACATATAAATATATTAGGTAGCTCAATCGTTTGTTAGAGGCAGTTAGGTGGTACAATGGATAGAGCACTGGAGTCAGGAAAACCTGAGCTCAAATATGACCTCAGACATTTCCAAGCTGTGTGACTCTGGACAAGTCACCTAACCTCTGTTTGTCTCAGTTTTTCCCTCTATAAAATAGGGATAATAATAGCACTTCCTCCCAGGGTTGTTGTAAAGAATAAATGAGATACTTGTAAAGGATTCAGCATAATGTCTGGTACATAGTAGGTGTTTAATAAATGCATGTTCCCTTCCCCCTCCCCCCTTAGTTTAAAAATATATATATCTATCTACCTTGGATCTTTCTTATATTAACCCCATCTAGGACACAAACCACATCTAAATAGCAATTTATAGAAGCTAGGACAACACTATATTGAAAAAAGTGCTTAATTTTTTAAACAGTTATGAAAAACATAAGTATATCTGATTTCATTAAAATGAGGCACTGGAAGACAGGTTTCCAGAGTTTATGTAATCCTAATGATAGGAATATAACTTTATACAAAATGCTGAGTACATACTATACTCAATAAGCATTTTAATGATAAAAATGTATTATTTTAACTGATGAGAGAAGATGAAATAATATCTAAAATCATCCCTTTGCTCAACAGTTTAGAATTGAATCTGCTAAATATATTTTAAAACATTTTTGAGAGTGCTGATAACTATAAAGCTCTACATACTTTAAAAATGTTCATTCATTCAACAAACATTTATTAAGTACAATACAATTTGATATATTTGGTACTCAGTAAAATATAAGACATTCTTTTTCTTAATAATTTATAACCACAATTTTATGTGGTGTCACTCTTACTTCTATATTTTTAAGCTTGAGTAGTAATTGGAAAATAGCTCATAATTTTTTCATTCATAAATATTCAGATATTAAATATCTACTTCACATAAATATGAACTTAACTATATAGCGCTCAGAAAAAAAAATTCACTGAAATAGTAGTACTTTGCGGAAGTATTTTAACCAAGGCTTTATATTTCTATAAATACTTTAATAGAAATTTATAATTTCTAGTTTTCTGCTATTCTTTCCAATAGCTGAGGCCAGCAAAAATCATTCTTTTTCATTCTGATTTATTGGAAGAAGTAACTAATCATAAAGTAGATAATTTAATATTCTATTTGTAGGGTTATAATTATAACTAAAATGCTTACTAGGTTCACTGAGCCTAAAATCATACACAAAGAAACAAAAACTTCCTTTAAACATTAGGGGAAAGAAGATGATTAGACATTTCATCCAAAAGGGAAAAATTAATAAAAAGAAAATGAAGTTCAGCCTCCATGTAATAAATAAGCCATACCTCAGCAGTAAATTTGCTGGACATTGGTGTAATGAATCCAACTCTACCATCATTAAATACAACAGCAAATCCATCAAGTGTAGCACAATATTCCATATCTTTGACGTGCACATCTTCAAAGCCCAAGAATGAACCTGCTGATGAAAAAATATGGAAATGAGTATTCATAATGGCTAAACAATGCTCTCGTAGTATTATTCGGAAGATCACTAGTTTCTTATATGCAATTGCATTATTTAGTAATCTAATAAAATTGAATAACTTCATTTTAAAGAACCAAATGACAGGAAAGTGGCTAAACAAACTATGGTATTGGTTATAACGACATATAACTGTGCCATAACAAATGATGAACAGGAAGAATTCAGAAGACGCCTAGGAACGCCATATGAACAAATGCAAAAAGTAAGCAGAACCAGAAAAACAGTAAAAATAGTAACTGCAACCATTTTAATGGAAAGAACAAATAATGAAACTGAGTGTTATCTAATTACAATGATCAAATGCCCTAAAGAAAAAGTCGAAAATACACCACTCTCTCTTCTTTGTAGAAATAGACTATGGGTGTGGAATATTACCTGTCTAATGCAGTGTTATTTTTGCTATACTGCTTTTTCTGCTTCTTTTTATTATTTGTTACAAAGGATGACACTGGGTAGCGGGGAGGGAGGAAACAAAGATAATAGAAATAAAAACTTCTACAAAAATTTGCTTCTACAAAAAAGCAAAACAAATGTCCCAAATCTTAAACATTTCGTTATTGAAAACAGATCAGTTTTGGCAGTGATCTGTCTATGTGTCAAAACACAGACAACATTTTGCCCTTTAAATTATTTACCATTATATGAGATAATAGCTCACATGCATTAAATTAGCAATTATTTGCGGTTGGAGGGGAGGGACTGATAATGCACAAATGATAATGTGGCAAGGAGATGGGAAAAAAAGTGGGGAAATGAGGAGAGGGGCCTAAGACTGGTCAAAACAAGGTGAATGTTTACCAATCGTGGGAGTATGAGATTTGAGTGGGAGGTGAAAGATGGAGTATAAGTAGTATGAAATCCAAATGGCTGAAAAAATAATATTTTTGGAAAGTAATATGACACTGCATTAAAAGATAAAATCTATACCCTTTGACACACACTGGGAATTAATATATCTTAATGAAATAACACAAAACAAACAAAAGCCCAATCTGTTTATCTAAGAATGTTTTTTAGCTGCCCCATACATAATAGAAAATAGAAAAAAAAACCTGTAAACAACACAGATGCCCACCACTTAGTGACTGGCTTATATGGCCTTTTGTACATCAAGAGTGATAAACGTGGTTTGTGTAGAAAAAGAAAGATCGATAAAAAAAAGAATTAAAAAAAACCCACCTTGAAACATATTTGATTAGTTATGTAAAAACATATTTATGAAATCATAAGGAAAACATTTTATAATCTGTTATTTGTAGGGGTTGTTTTATTGTACTTAATTTTTAAAAAAAATCAACAATTTTTAAAAGCAGGTTCCTCTACTTCAGACATAGAAAGGTATAACTACCTCGAGACGACTGCAAGTCTACCGAAAATGGTACCGTACAGAGATTGATGGCTTTCCTTCCATTTGTCATCCCTTCCCAGTGAATAAGATGAAGCAGCCCATCAGATGTAGCAACCAGAAGATCCTCTAGCATTGACTGCAAACTGTAAGGAAAACAAAAATTTAGAATCAATGCTTTAAAAATTGTTAGCTCACCGAGATAATGTACAGGACTTCAAAAATTTTCATAAGCTTTCAATTTCATAAAGCAATTTACAGTCATAGCTCACCTATCTGGAACATAGCCAGGAACCAGAGTAGCCAAAATAAATGTTGCAGAGTCCAAACACTAGCTCATTTACTCTTATGTATATACAGGGTTTTTAAAAAAATTTTTAATTAAATTTTAATTTTTAGTTCCAAATTCTGTTCTTCCCTCCATTTCCTTCCCCACTCATTAATAAGATAAAAAATATGATACCCACTCATATCTATAGTTCTAACAAGTTTATCTGCTTTCCAAGTCTTTGGCAAATTTAGACATAGCAAATAAAAAGATGCATTGCTAGAGACAAGTACACAGGCAAATATGAGGACTGGTTGCATAAAGAATAATAAGGAGACCAAAAAAAATTTATAGCAGAAAAAGTTACTTAAAAAATACTGTAGTCTAACATAAAGGCAAATAGTCCTTAGCCACAGTGCAGTGCAATGGAAAGAGAGGGCAGAGTTCAAATTTCAACTCTTCTATGGCTGGGTTGGACAAATCACTTCCCTCAGTTACCCCATCTATAAAATGATGAGGTTAGACTAGAATATGAGCATAGATCTCCCCTTACTAGATGTGAGTTCCTCAAGGGGCTTCACGTCTTTCGCCTTTCTTTGTATCAGTAGTGCTTAACACAGTGTCTGGCATGTACTGGGTGCTTAATACATGTTTACTGACAGACTGAGATCTAGAGCTAAAAGGAAGGGACCTAAAAAGCCATTTACCCCAACTTTCTCATTTTACAGGTGAGGAAACTGAGATCCAGAAACATTAAGTAACCTGTCCAAAGTCACACAAATAGCAAAAGACAAAGCTGGGATTCAAACTCAAGTCCTATGACTCCAAGCTCAGTTCCAAAGATTCCATGAGTTGCCTTTCCTTGCTCTGCCCAGAACTCACAGAGATGGTACTGGGGGAGTTTCAACAGAGAAGCTGGTGACGACTGAACTGCTGCATATTGCAGAGGAGGGAAAGTCACAACTTGAAAAGAAAGAAAATATGAAGTCTTCAGGCTTTAAGACTGTGTAATTTAAAACTCAAATGGTCACTTGCACATACTACTTTATTACAATTCATGTTGGTGAAGAAGAATTCAAAAGTCCCCCTCATAAAAACAAGCCACTGGTTCTACCTAGTTATTAGTCCAACACAGACAAAAAAAATCTCTTTTTAATGAATTATTTTGAATAGTGGCCCTTTGCTTTTTTATATGGATTCTTTCTCTCTCTCTCTGTCTCTGTATATACACACACAAACACATACATTCAAGCATGATATGGACAAGTGTTAAAATTTGGGATAATAAAAGAAATCACATCTTTTTTTAAAAAGTATAGTCCAACTGTAAATCTTATTAACTTCAACAATCACTGATAGCATCACTGTATCATAACAACACAATCAATGACATTCATAATAATGCTTGAATCATTAAGAAAAAGTTTAATTTTTTCCAGTGCTTTTTGTTAAAGAAGTCAAGGAAGTATGCAGTACATTTTAAGAAGATTTCCATCTAAAATGGCTATTTAAAGGGATTAGTGATCTCACAGATTTTGATCAGGATCCATAGGATCCACAGCTGTGGTCTATGTCTTAAATGAGGAAAAAACAAACTATATCTTTATCTCACTAGTATTTGATTTCCTTTGTAATCCTTTGTATTTAAAAATATAATCCTGAGAAGGGATAGGCTTCAATCAGACTACCAAAATTATCTGTAACACATAATAAAAAGGTTAAGAAACCCTTATCTAAGCCAAAGCCCTCATTTTAAATTTGAGGAAACTGAGAAGAGGGCTGGAAGTCACACATATCATTCAAGATTTGAACCCAGGTGTTTATAATGCAAAATGGAATTTTGGGGACCTTTAAGCCTGGAAGCTGTGAGAGTCCCTTTTACTGTTAAGGTATGTAGAGTCCAATATGACTTTCTATTTGTTTTGAAAAGATTTTCTTTTTATATGTATATATGTTGTTTTCATCAGTAGAATGTGAGCTACTTGAAATAACTACTGCAGTTTTTGTCTTCTGCATTCCGAGTACTTAGCACAGTCACGGGCATATAGCACACTAAATACTTGTTAAATGAAAGAATGTTTGTTACCTTAACCTAAAAGAGAACATCAATGAACCTTCTGAGTAGAATGAAAACTGTGCTCACTCAGTTTGATTCACTTAGAGTTCATTAAGTGCCTTTGGTTTTTATTTTATTTTATTTATTTGTTATTATTCTTTGCAGTATGGAATATAGAACAGGAGTTCATGAATCTACCAGTTAAACTTACCTATTTTTTTTTTTTTACAAAGTTGTCTGAATCAACTCCCAATTTCCTTAAAAGAAAACTAAGCTGAGACAACTGTGGTTGTATAAAGATTCAGCCTTCAGAAAAGCACTGGGTTTGTGTGTGTGTGCACTAGTCAATAGACATTTACTAAGTGTCCACTGTGGCAAAAGTGTGGGGGCCAGAGTCTGGTTGAAGTTGAGAAGAGAAAAGGTTTGAAAAAGCTGCTGTGGAAATAAGAATTTCTGAGAAATGATGAGAAAATAAATGAAGTCTTCCATTTTTTTTGTGTGTGCGCGTATGTACATGTGGGTGAAATCCTGAGAGAAAAGCAAACCGTTAGGAAGAAAAATTAGAAGTTACATTTGTAGAACAGGGCAAGGTTAGGGCTACTATGTATATTTAGTTAACTCATTAACTAAGCCATTTGTTTATATAAGACAGGCCGTTTACAATTGGCAAGCAGCCAGCAAAATCAGTTCTAGTCTGGTGTTTTTGGTGGAAGGTCTAGACAAGTTATATAAATAAAAATGACTGACAAATACTTTTTCTTGGTCTCTAAACCAATAGAGTACAGTTGGCATTATTTGCAGAACAAAGCTTACACTACTGATTTACTTTCTTGCAATAAAGTTTACATATACATAGCTAAAATTGGCTATGGCATAAAGCTATACCTTTCCCTAATCAGTGCTATCACTTTTAACAGTTTGGCAAACCTCCATATACCGTGGAGTTATTAAGCTGTATTTTCTCTCCTAAAAATGGTCACACAGATGTTAAGATGTAAATACAACTTCCACAGCAGTTACTTAAGGATTCTGGTAGATGGACAATTCATTTAACTTAACTTAATAAAAGTGTCAGCAAATTAATTAGCTCAAAAGTAGATCTTGCTTTTTTTTTTTTTTTGGTGAGGCAATTGGGGTTAAGTGACTTGCCCAGGGTCACACAGCTAGTATGTGTCGAGTGTCTAAGAACAGATTTGAACTCAAGTCCTCCTGATCCCAGGGCCAGTGCTCTAACCACTATACCACTTAGCTTCCGCTGGGTCTTGCTTTCTTAGGAAAATAGTAAGAATAATTTGTGCCACAAAACAAATGTTTCTGTTGCCAGGCTGGGAAATTATAGTCATATCAGTGTACTATATAATTTTTCAATTCCATTTTCTATTTTAGGAGTACACATGGGTAATAGTTAATTGCTGGTATGTTTTCTTTAAAATATACACAGAGTTACTATTCTTCTCATCTACAATTAAGCACTAGTTTTCAACAAAGAATGAAATACAAGCTAATGAACAAAATGATTCTCTATGCAAAGTATGTGTTCTGCTAGAATCTCAAATATGTTTGTGGCAGTACAGACTATTTACACTGTGTCATTAGAATATGAAATAATGATTATTCCCCTTTCCTTCATTATACATTTTGTTCTTATAGCATCACATACTATTGAAGCATTGTAAAAAAAATTTTTTTTAAAGCAGCACTACCGATTTATGGGAGGTAGGGTCAGGGAAGAGGTGGGTAGAGGGTCAAGTCCTAATTTGGATTTCATTGTTGTGGCCAACTCCTGGTAAGGAAACTGTAATAAGTAGATCAGAAACTGTTTTGCAACATGTGGTTTTAGAGAGTTGTTAGGGGCACTGAGAGAATAAGAGACTGATGCAGGGTCACACAGCCAACATGTGCCAGAAGTGAGACATGAACTTCCTGACTCATGGATGGCTATCTATCCACAATGCATATTATCAGTTATTTAATGTCATAAAACTAATAATTAAAGTAAAACAAAAAATGAAAACTCTGACAAGGATAATTAAGCAACAAAATGAGCAGTAGTCTACATCACTAACATCACTATTATTTCTAATAGAGGCAGCATGATAAGAATAGATAGAAAAGCAGTGTTGAAGCTAGAAAGACCTGAGTTCACATTCTGCCCCATGCTCGATATGTGACTCTGGGGACTGTTCAGTGCACTAGGCAACTTTCTAATACTGAAGTTGCAAAGGTGCTTTTAACAGAGTTCTATATCCTAATAAAATCACAGCTCTAGTCCCTATCACTATTATTTCTAATATTCTCAATATTTCAGTGGCAAGTAATGAGCTCATGCAATCTTTTACCATGATGAAGATAGGCTTTTGTCCCCCCTATCTTCACCTCCCCATCTCACTGTAACACTGGATTGGTGTTCTAGTGATTTGGGAAAGGTTAATTCTTTTTTTTTTGTTGGTTAGGCAATGGGATTAAGTGACTTGCTCAAGGTCACACAACTAGTAAGTATTATGTGTCTGAGTCCGGATTTGAACTCAGGTCCTCCTGAATCCAGGGCTGGTGCTCTATCCACTGCGCCACGTAGCTGCCCCAAGGTTAATTCTTGATCCCTATTTCTTCTCTCTTCAGCAACGTACTTTGCTGCCACCAAGTTGCAGAAGGTATGAAGCCGACAAATTCAGCATTATCTTAAGTATCCATATCTCATAAAGTAAAGTGCTAGGAATACAATGACAAAAGGGGAGAAGCATATATTCTAAAAGGGAGAACTGGACACATATACAAATATATACGGTAAAGAAGAAAATGATAGCCCAAAAGAAGCAGCAAAGTGTTACGAGAAATTTGAAGATTTAGAAATGACTTTTATCTGGGATGATCAGAAAAGGCTTTAAGTAGGAAGAAGCATATAAGGTGCACTTTGTAAGACAGAAGAGACTTTGAAAGATGGAAATAGAGGGGAAAGTCTACTACAGGGGTAGGTCACGTTCATCAAAGGCATGAGGAAAGAGGACAAAAATGGGAAAGGTGTCAAGTCAAGGTAATTGAAAGTAGCTGAATGTATAATATGGGAAAAGGAATAGCATGAGATAGATAAGGTACTGTGGCAGGTACTGTGTATCCATATTATGACAAGTCCAGTGAGGAGAAAGAAAATATAAAAATAGTAGAAAAAACTAATGCTATTTCTCAAAGGAATTTTAAAAAATCTGTTAATAATATCCTAAAAATCTATTATAAATGTGATCATATATAATATATAAATACAAACAAACCAATGTCATAAGAAATAGTACATGCAGAGAAAAACTAAAAGTACAAATACCCTAAGGTATGTCTCTATCATATTCCACTCAACAATCAACCAACCAAACAACAAGTACTTAAGGATTAATTTATTAGCTTACTACCCAGCACTGTGCTAAGCCATAAAGGAAAAGCAAAAATAGTCCCTGCCTTCAAGGAATTTACATTCTAATGGAGGAGATAAGTATATAAATAGGTACAACCTCCAGAAGGATGCTATTGCTAGCAAACAGTAAGCAATTAATAAATGCTTATTGATTGATTGGTTGAACTAAGTCTTGAAGGAAGTCAGACATTATAAGAGGCAGCAGTAAGGAAGGTCAATATTACAAGTGTAGGGAATGGTCACTACAAAGACACAGGGGGGAAATAGAATCTTGTGTCTGCAGATCAGCAAGTAGTCCAATATGGCTGGAACACACAGTGTGTGGAGGGGTATGTGTATAAGAAGACTAAAAAGAAACAAAGGGGCCAGGATGTAAAGAGCTTTAAATGTCAAACGAAGGATTTTATATCTGTTCCTGGAGGTGAGAGAGAGCTGTTGAAGTTTACTAAGTAGGGAGATCGGACCTATTCTTTGGGAAAATCACTTTGGCAGAAGGATGGAAAATATACTAGAGTGGGGAGAGATGAGACAGGGAGACCAATAAGAAGACTAATGCAATAGTCCAGGTAGGAGATAATGAAAACCTAAAAACTGGGGTGGTGGGTGTGTGAGTAGAGAGGAAGGGACATGTATGACAGATGCTACAAAGACAGAAACAAGCTTGGGCAACTGATTGGATATGTGGAGTGAGGTTAAGGAGTTAATAATGACACAGAGGTTGTGAATACGGGTGACTAGGACAGTGGTATCCTTAATGGTAAAATGGAAGTTCAGAAGAAACTTAGAAGGAGTGGTAAGACAGGTAGGAGGTTAACCAAGAGAAAGTAGTCACAAATAGTCAAAGAAGAGAAAGTATACAGGGGGAGAAGGTGTTCAACAGTGAAAAATGCTACAGAGAAGTCAAGAAGGATGAAAATGAAGAAACAGTCGTTCCATTTGTCAATTAAGAAGTCATTGATAACTTTGGAAAGAGCAAATTCAATTGAATGATGAAGTTGGAAGTCAGAAAACAGAAAGTTTAGAAGTGAGAGAAAAAGAAGCAAAAGTACTGAGTATTTCAAGCAGCTTATCAAAAATTGGAATGAGAGCTATGGAAGGATAGTTAATGAAGATTGTAGGATCAAGTGAGGGAAAAGAGACAGACACATGAATGTAGGCAGCAAGGAAGGAGCCAGAAGATAGGTACAGCTTGAAGCTTTGAGAGGAGCAGGGATAATAGCGAGGGAAATCAGCTAGGGCAGTATGGGTGAGTGGGATAGAGAATAAATGAGAGAAACAGAAGGTCTGCCTTGTTGTAGGGAGAGCCCAGTTGAGACCAGATAACAAATTTCTAGCGGACCCCAATCAGCAGTTTCATGACTTTCTCCAGCTCCATTCAGCAGCCAAGTGAGTAAAAGTGAAGGGGGCAGATGGTGAGAGTAATCTAGCACTCAGGTTTGGCAAAATACAATCAGATGGCTGGACAAACAGATAAGGAATCTGAACATTTGAGGATATTTACTGTTGAACTGCTCATCCAAGAAAGGGTAAAGATTGGGGGAGGAGGAAGAGAGTATATGTGTGTGTGTGTGTGTGTGTGTGTGTGTGTGTGTGTATACACACACACACACACATATATATACATATACACACACACACATATATATAAACAGAGAGAGTATACATATATAACATATATATATGTAATATATGGGAAAGATGTGATAAAAGATTACAAGCAGATAAAGGAATTTAACAGCACACAGAATGAAACACTTGTAGGTAATGGCAAGATCAATGGTATGACCACCCTGTAGATAGCTGAAGTGCAATAAAAACATAGGTCTAAAACTTAGATCTTTTCCTTACCAGGTTCAGTAAAAGTGAGTCATAGCTTGAGTTCATCGGAAATTCATTCTAACTCAAGTATTCTTTCATAGAGAAAATCTATTAGTCCTTTTAATGGGAAGCAGCATGCTTCTGCTGCCTCTGTACTCTCTTCAATCCACCAACCATTCCTTCCTATCCATATTCCTGTGTAAGTGAAGGATTGCTCCACACCCATCTCCACTTCCCTCCTCCTCCTACTATGACTTGGTGTTCTCATTCCTCTTGGTTTCCTTTTCTTTCTTTTAATTTTGTTCCCCTGAGAAAATCAAAGCACCACCACGTTTTCTCAATTCCCTATTTTTTTGTTCGGACATACAAAAGCAGCAAGTAATAAATGATACACAACATTGGTATTATAACCTGTTGTTTCATTATGTAGATAGAATATGTAGAATAGAATATGTCCATTCCACAACAGCTGTGACTTAACAAAATGAGAGAAACTGTTACTCTATGGTTTGCCAAATACAATTAGGTAGTACCTCCCAAATCAAAATATCATAATTGGCCAAGGTAGCATCTGGAAAATTTAAATATCTTTAAATGCCCAAATGAAAACCACAACTCAACTATTTAAGGATTTGATGAAAACTACATGGGTATGATTTACTTAATATAGATTCTAAGGTAAACTCAAAAAACTCTCTTCAAATAATTTATATTGTACAAAGACACCATTGGTAAAACACAAAAGCATTAATCAAGTATGTGATTGTGATATTTTAGTCAATTTACTTAAAAGCATAAAAACAAAACTGTGATAAGATTAAAGGATTTCCCCCACCAAAAATAATAAATACAAGTTTTGTTGGTTCAATTCTTTGACCTGTCCTTTCATATGCCCATTTTATGTTTGTGAGCAGTCAACCACTCTGTGCTGTAATAAAGGGCCCAGGTGATAACAAAATGTTGAACCTAACAGAGATATGGCATACCTAATGATAGGTGCTTGTAAATCCAGTACTTTTTTCATCTCCAAATGCAATGATGGAGCATATTGTTCTTCCTTAAAATGAGGTGTTCCCTTTACTTGTGGACTTCCTCTAAAAGAAAAAGTAAAGACACATGATCAGAATAATCTCTTATTTACACATTCTCTCTCTCCATCCCCCAACCTCTTCTTCCTCCCCCCCTCATAATTTTAAAGCTTAAAAATGCTCCAAATACAATCTGGCACATTTTGATGCAATATATTAAAAAATATGAACTTACAAAAAAGTTTTGTCCTTGGCCTTCTTCTCTTTAAACCCTCTCCCTTGGCAATCTCTGTTACCATCTTGGCATCTCTATGCCCTACATAAATGTGCCTCCATTGAACCAGACAACTAACTGTTGTCAGACTATTTCATACTGACAATCAGAAAATATGTAGACAATGCCAGTGTTGACAATACTGTAAACCAACCAATATTTAACTGACATTTTATTCAGATACTGTCATTATGTCAAAATTGTGCAAAGTAACCAAAAAAATGTTACAGTGAGAATATGATGACAAATGATCCCAAAATACTTTATATCTGAAAGCTGCATTCATGAACATAAAATTATAATTATTCAGTAAGTTCTTAAATTCGAAATGTTGGAGAGTTGGGGATATATATATTCCAAACCTTTATCTTCTGTTTGTCCAATCTTGTGGTATACTCAAAAATCTTTATTTTTAATATTTTAATTTATTTTCAATTAAAAAATATTTTTTCTATCTTTCCCAACTATTCCCTCGTAAAAAAAATCACAGTTAATAAGAACAAATTTCATCATTGTTCATAATGAAAAAATATCTCAATCTGTATCCTTAGTCTATGGCATTTTTTTAGAGGTGGGCACAGCATCCTTCATTATAGGTCCTCCAAAAGAATGGTTGGTCATTTTATTGAGATTAAATCTTTCAAAGTTGCTTTTACAGTATTTTGGGTTTTTTTTTTTGTATAAATTGTTCCTCTGGTTCTGGCTCACCTCAGTCTGCATCAGCCCAAACAAGTTTTTCCATGTTTCTCTGAAACCTTTCCCCCTTATAATTCTTATGTCACAGGGCCCCAGTACATAACATAATTTGTTTAGTCATTCCCCCACTTAATCAAAACCCCTTAGCTTTCAGTTTGGGGCTTTTTTAAACAAAAAAAGCTACTATAAATAGTTCTGCTTCAAGGATACAGGCTTAGTATTGACATCACTGGATCAACCCCTTTTTATTTGTCTTGGATATGAGAACCCTTACCAGAGAAACTTGCTGCAAAGACTTTTTCCAAGTTAACTGTCTTCTAAATTTTAGCTGCACTGGCTTTAAACGTGTATCTTGGGTGATCCTCTATCCCTTGTTGTATCATGAAATCTCTCCCTATCCATCTTCTTCCTGTGGGCTGCAACTCCTGACTCTCGAAGCTTTCTCTACCAAGCCTCCCTGACAGTTACCTTCACCCCTCCTTTTTCAGCTTCTTTTTAAGTGTTATCTTACAATAGAAAGTAAGCTCCATTAGGGCAGGGAGTGTATCTTTTTCTCTTTGTATTTTTATTCCCAGCACTTAGCACAGGTCTGAAACATAATAAGCCTTAGTAAATGCTTGTTAATTTTACATGTAACCCCCACCTCTTTATTTTTAAAAAATTAAGAGAAACTATTTGCTCTCCCTCTCACCTCCCATCCCATTGGGGGGAAAACAAAGAAATTGCTTATAACAAGTACATGTAGAGGAAGAGTGATAGGGAAGAGGAAAAGAGTAAGAATTTCTATAGCACCTACTATGTTCCAAGTACCATAAGCATTTCATGTTTAAACAAATATATATATTATCTCATTTGATCCTCACAAAAACTCTGCAAGGCAGGTACTATCTTTATCGCTATTTTGCAGTTGAGGAAACAGAGGCAAACAGAAGTTAAATGACTTGCCCGTTGTCTGAAGGTGATTTGAAATCAGATTTTCCTGACTCCAGGTTCAACTCTCTATCTACTTCGTCATAGTCAAGTAAAACAAATCCCCTCAATGGTTGTATACAAAATATGTCTCACTTTGCACCTGAAATCCATCATCACTTTGAAATATATAATGGGCTGCATCACCAGAACTCTTGAATCACAAATGGTCTTTGTATTGATCATGTCTCTTACAACTTCCTCTGAAAGCCTCAAGCTCACAACCTAAGCTTACTATCTATCACTTTCCATAGCCAATCTGTCACCAAGACTGATTGATTTCACCTTTGCAACATCTCTCTAATATGCTTCCTTTTCTCCTCTGACGCTGCCACCATCCTGGTACAGAACCTCATCACCTCACCCCTAAACTACTGGAATAGCCTATTGTGTGGTCTGCCTGCCTCAAAATTCTCTCCACTCCAATTCATCCTCCATTTAGCGACTCAAGTGATTTTCCTAAAGCACTGATCTAACCACATCACCCTGCCATGCCTTACTCAATAAACTCCAGTGGCTCCCTACTACTTCCATGATCAAATACAAAATCTTCTGTTATAATCTAACATCTCTTTCTCTTCCTCTCCAGTCTTCTTATTTCCCCCACCACACAATCTTCAATCCAGCGACACTGGCCTCTTTGCTGTTCCGTGAACAAGACACTGTATCTTTCCGCTCTGGGCATTTTTTCTGGCTAGTCCCATGCCTAGAAAACTCTGTTTTCTCAACTCTACCCACTGGCTTTCTAGGCTTCCTTATGCTGTTGTGGTCCAGCTGTTTTCAGTCATGTCTGACTCCTGACCCCATTTAGGGTTTTCTTGGCAAAGATACTGAAGTGGTTTGCCATTTCCTACCTCAGCTCATTTTACAGATGAGGAAACTGAGGCAAACAAAGTTAAGTGACTTGGTCCAGGGTCATACAGCTAGTGCCTGAGGCCACATTTGAACTCTTTGAACTCATGTCCTCCTGACTGGCCACTCCTGGGCTGGCCACTCCAGGCAGACTCCACTTAACATCACTAATTGGTTCTACAAAGCATGGTGTTCAGTCTTTTTTCAGTGGTGTCTGACTCTTTGTGGGATTTTCTTGGCAAAGATACTGGAGTGGTTTGCCATGTCCTTCAGCCCACTTTAGAGATAAGGAAACTGAGGCCCAGGGTCACACAGCTAGTTAAATGAGGCCAGATTTGAACTCAGGAAGATGATTTTCTGACTCCTGGCCTGGCATTCTATCCACTATGCCACCTAGCTGCCCTAACTAGTATCTGTGTATTTTTCAAATATCAGGTTGTTAAGATACATGTGCTTCTGTATGCTGCATAACAAATCTGTTTTCACTGGACAATTTCTTTATTTGCTTAAGTTGTAAGACACTGTTTTTTAGGTCTGGCACCTCTAGGACTCCTTGTTCCTATTTCTTTTAGTTATTTCTTGAGATTCTTGAACTTTTTTCTCCATATGTTATTTTTTCTAATTCTATAACTATAATTTATAAATTAATCTATATAGTAATATATAAAGTAATCCTTTGGTATCTTGATTGGAATAGCTTGGAATAAGTAAATTAATTCATGTAGTATTTTCATTTTTATTATATTGGCCCATCTGACCCACAAAGAACTGGTATTTTCCCCAGTTATTTAGGTCTGTCATCATTTCGGTAAATAGATGCTTGTAACTGTATTTATATAGTTCTCACGTATTTTTCCTTCTGGATAAGTGTTTAGAAATACAACTTTTCCCCTAAGGACTGATTTAGTTGTATTCCCCCCTTCCTCCCAAAATTTGGAATGCTCCCATTTTCCCCTTAATCTATCCTGTACACATACCTCTTTTCTTTTTTCTTACCACATTTTCAAAATATAACAGAACTATTTCTAGGTCTTTTATCTCAAATGATTACTCAAATGACTCCTAATGGCAATGGGATTGTAAATGAATCCTTTTAATATCCACCCTTCTCCATTAGAATGTAAGTCCGTTCCGAATATACTCTTGTAGTTAACCTTTTTTATTTTTCTCTTGACTTCCATGTTTATATTTCAAAGTTCCTTTTTAGCTCCCATTTTTTCATCAAAAATATTTGAAAATCCTCTTTTCACTGAATATATAGTTTTTCCTTGTTGGATGATACAATTTTTCTGGATAAATTATTCTTGGTTATATACTTTTCTCTTTTACCTTTTGGAATATTTTATTCCATGCTCTCCATTTCTGCTTAGTTATAACTGCGAAATTATGTGTGGTCTGGATTGTTGCTCATCAATATCTGAATTCTTTCTGGCTGCATGCACTATTTATTTCTTCTGTCAAGAAGTTCTAGATTTTGGCAACGACTTCCATGGGAGTTTTCATTTTGGGATTTCTTTTTGAGAATGACTGGTAGGTTTTTTCTATTTTCACACTGCCTTCTTGTTCTAATATGTCTGGCTATTTTAATGATTTCTTAAAACGTGATAATCAGGTTCTTTTTTTTTTTTTGGTCATGAGTGTTAGGTAATCCTCTAATTCTTAAATCATCTTTCCATATTCTGTTTTCCAGAACAATTGTTTTTAATGAGATAGCTTACATTTTCCTCTATTTTCACATTGTTCTGACTTTGTTTCAAGAATTTTTGTTGCCAGTTGGAGTTATTAATTTCTATATGGTTGATTCTGATTTTTAGGGGAGTTTATTACGAGGGAAAGGTTTTGCACCTCTTCTGTTAAGCTTTTGATCGAGTTCAATTTTTTTCCCCTACAGCTCTCATTTCTTTTAGAATATCTTTTTAAAACTTTTGCATCATTTCTTCAAAGAATTCTCACTGAGTTATTCTCCTCTTCTGGTTTTGCGTATTGATCATTCCTGGCATTACAAAAGGTTACTCTTGTTTATTAATTTTTATTGCTGCGGTCTCAGTAGTAGTTCTAGGTCTCTTCTGCTCTGGGGACCAAATCAAGTTAAGGACCTTTTCTTTGTCCAAGTAAGTCTTTCTTTAGGCCCTCTCCCTTCACTATGGATGCCAAAGTTCTCCCCTCTTGTGATCATCCTTTTAGATAAGGAGATAGCCTTTTTCTTTAATTCTCAGTTAAATCCTAGAATATTTTCCTCTGATGCGAAAGACCTACTTGAGGACTTTTCTCTGAG